GAATTTTCCGTGGGAACAGAGCTAGGTGCAGTGGATCCTGTAGGAGCTCCACTGGTTCCCAATCCACCTAAACCAGGATTAAATCTGTATAAATTACAGAAAAAGAAATACACCACTTGAATAATAAATACTAGCTCGTCTCTTCTCATTTATTTAATTCTGTCAAGGAGGGGATGACAATTTAAGTAAAGTACCAAGACAAAGACCAGAGTTATCACTGCTTAGAAGTGCACAGCAAGCAAAAATGTGACAAATTCTAAAACAAGTTTAGTTAAACTAAAAAAAAAAGGGAGGAGGAATCTTTAATAGAAACTGTGCAAATCTCTAGATGTAGAAAGAATTCATAACACAAAGTTCCTGTCTAAATTTCTAAGGTCAACTCTTACCCTGGTATAAGTCCTGGGGCTTCTGTTGCTAATGTCTGCAAGCCCTGCTGAATCTGTAACAAAGCTTGCATTGCTCGAGGGTTTGACATAGCTGACAACGTGTCAGGATTCTGCATCTAAGAAAAGGAAAAGAAATATGATTAAGAAACCCTTAATCATATGCAGATGTTCAACTAGATGTCTTACAGAATCTGACATAATTTCAGAACTTGTTTTTCAGCTCTGTATTTTAGTGTTTACATTCAATCCTTCAGGTATTTGTTCTTGTGTGAGAAAATTTTCATAGAAGGTGACCAAGGAACTCTCTAGATATGGACAAAGCCTTTCAAACGAGAAGCACACTAGCAAAAGTGTTTTTCATTACAGACCTCAATCTTTCAAAGCCACAAGACTGTATTAGTACAACATCATTCGAGAATTAGTCTCTTATATCACACTACTGCTAAGCAACAACATTGAACGTGATGAAACTTGACCAACAGACATCTAAGAAAAAGTAATACATTTCTTTCTCCCAGCTAATTTCAGATCATGGCAGTTTGACCATGACTATTTGTACATGCTTTCTTATCTGTAGTGCCCTCACAGCCTGAAATGTAAATAAATACACTGCAAAACATACCAGCAATATTCAAGGTTTCTCACTCTACTGTGACTTCAATTAAAAAATGGCTTTCATATCCACAAATTATTTAAAAGACAAATCCTTTTCATTTCTGGAATGAAACACCCAAACCCCCAACTATTCTAGATAAAAACCTAAAACTAATGGCTTGTGCTCACCTCTGGTTAGAGATGCAGCAGGTAAGTGAAAAGTAATGTTTCAGTTACAAATGACATTTTTGGCAGCCAGAGCTACTTCAAATAGTAGACAGGTTTATTAATCTTAGCTGCCCTCCTCTGGCAACTAGACCAAATTACTTTTTCATGAAAAACACTTCTAATTCACACAGAAATCACAGGTCAAGCTGCCTCTGGTGCAGAGCACAATTGCAGAGTAGGACATGCAGAACTTGGGTTTGGAGTACAGGTGCCTAAGGAGACTTCAGCACACCAAGTTAATATTCTCCATTCATCTCTTAGATTTTTATCTTCCTGAGAGGTGAAAGTCAGAGTAACTAAACATATACACAGAAGAAGTTGCTCAAATTTTAGAGAGGAAAACTTCTGGAGTTCTCCAAAGCAAGCTGCTGCAATTGCATTTTGCAAATATTTAAATCATGACTTACTGTCTGACATTTGAAGCTGTCTTACAGAAATGGTGGCCTAACAATTTTCAGAGCACTGAGGCAACTTGGATCTCATCTCTGTTAATGCTAGTAATTCCAATAGTAGCAATTCTTTCCTAGTTCTGCTGGGCAACTGCCCTTCATCACAGAAGATGTCTTCCATTATTCAGACTCCATGGTTTTTATCTCCCAGTCCGTAATATAAATGCCAGTAGATAAGCAAGGAAGTACAAGTTGTAATATTATCGACATTCTGAGAATGCTCAGGTATTTCTCCACTTTACCTCACCTGTTACTGCTGTTCATGATCTGACCTTACACAGTGAATACAACAGAGAACTGGCTGTGCAGATAAACTCCAAGGTAACACAGAGAAGGAGATACGGGAAATAGAAAAGATTCCTACTGTACCTTCATTAACCACCTTTTATTCGCAGATTTCAAAACATACATGTGGTACTAGCTCCTCAGATACTACCGAGTCATCACAAAGCAGTGGCATTATGAAACACTACAGCCATTCATCTGGTTGAAACGATATAAACAGTATCTTCTGAACACTGACCTTGCTACAGTAATTCATGTATGTTCTAATTATTTTACTCATAAATCCTCCTGTGCAGCCAGATCTTGGCAATGCACATTTAAACTGATTTCCAAGGACTGCCTAATGATGGACCTCATGCAGTGGATTAAGTTTTCAATTCTTAAAAAAAAAAAAATCTTTCTTGCTCCTATTTAGGGAACACAGTACTAATGAACACAGTACTAATACACACTGTGGCAACTAATACCAAGCAGATACCAACGCTGTGCTTGCAGCCCAGGTATGAGGGCAGGACAGTGGTACAGCAATCTTTACAGACAAAAAAATCTTCAGAACTCACTTCTTGTGCATTAGCTAATGACTCAGGTCTTTCAAGGCATGCTGTAAGACCTCTTTTCCAAACATTTAAGGCAGGTTTGAAGAGCTATGAGAAAAACCATTGTGAAACTTTAACTAATAGCAGGAAAAGTACTAATCTTCTTAATTTGTGAAACAAACCTTGTTGCAAACAGGTGTTCTCTGGCTGGTGTGCAGTAAGAACAATTACTCCTTCTAAGCAAAGAGGCAAGAGCAAATCTAAGTGGTTGTGCTAGCCACAGACAACAGTCAGGTTTAACTTTTGAAAGGTATGAAGACATTAAAGCAAGAATATTATCAAGGAACAGTCTTAGTGTATAAAGCTAATGAGAATATATTACAGAATCTAGCTATTAGCCAGATCAAAGAGACACCAGTTTGCTACAAATACTGCTCACTGACTAGCAGACATTTATTAACAACTAGTATCTTGTCTTACTTGCTGAAGGAAAGTTGGAAGTTGTTGTCTCATTTGTTCCTGAAGTTGAGGATTTCCAACAAATAAAGGATTATTCAACATCATCTACAGGACAAAAATATTCAAAGATCAAGCAGTAAAATCCACAGGAGGTTTTAAAACAACTATTGACATAGTAAGAGTCTATGAAAATAACCTCACAGCATCTACTTCTCCTTTGGCCAAAACTTTCTGGGGGTGTTTGCCCTTTTTTTTGGTTTGTTTTGGTTTTGCTTCATTGGGGTTTTTTTGTAAATTAATTACTTTCCAGATAAAAATGAGGTAGTCTTGCCAAGTATTACAAGAAAACCCTTTTCTGCTCAGCCTTCACTACAGATCTAAGTAATAGCTTCTCTGTGTATACCACCAAGTCAAGGATATTTCCAAGTGAGTATTTAATACAGAAAAGATAATGCTTTTTCAGTCTCAGTTCAGGATTGACCTTTGATACTACTGCTTCAAGTAGAATTTGAAAGCACTTCTACAATACCATTCATAAAACAACATCTCATTTTTACAGAGAGTACAGCTCACAAAAGAGAAGTTAAAACCACAGTAATGTCTAGGTATGGCACTAAGTGCCCTCTCTTCACTTCTTCCAAACTAGTGGGGGCATTTAGTTCCTTACAGATCTATCAGAATTAGAACCAAAGCATTTGTTTTGTTTAAGTTTCTTATGCTGGGTCACAAGTTTAGGGCTGTACAAAGCATACACAAAATTACAGGTTATTTTAGAAGCATGTCAGGCATGATGTCCAACTACAAACTGGAGAAACCCACTGTGACAAATTGTAAAATATAAGTGGGTAATGATTTCAGGGATTAACAGTAAACACTGGGCCATACAATACAGTCAATTGTTGAGCTATTTGCATTTTGGGGATTTTTACTTCAACACACACAATACGTTACTACACCAAATGCAATTTACCTGTACAGCAAGATCAGGATTCTGGCTTAATGACTGCATCATGCTTCTCATGTAGGGTGCAGACAACATATTCTGCATGAGTTGTGGGTTTTCTGTTATCTGCTGTAATAAGCTCTGCATTCCTGGTGTGTTGAACATACCAGCTTAAAAGAAGTAAAAGGCCACTTCAGTAAATATCCTGACTATCATCATACAAATCAGACTATCTAAACCACTTGGTTTTTTTATAAGTTTTAGACTCTGAAATGTGGTTCTAATTACACAGACATATCTACCCCAGAAATTAAGACAGACACTGCATCTGACAAGCAGTCCATTAAGTATCTACATTAGTAGCTGTTTTCATATTTGCCTCAAAACAGAAAAAATAGTACAACTCATCTAGCGATTCCCTACCTTTATTATTTTAAGGCAATATACAAATATAATTAAAACTCTTATTTTTCATAGCTGTTTTTCTACAGAGGACTTTTCATACTAGTAAGATGTTCTACAAAAGTAAACACCTATAAAAATCTCTGAATCAAGAACTCTTTCTGATCCAAGAATCAATTCAGGGAGCTTCCAAGTATGTGCAAATATACACAACTGCAGCAAACACACCTCCTAGTCCCGGTCCCACATTCGGTCCAGTTGAGCTCTGCCCTGTAGTGCCAGAAGTGCTATTCTCAGCATTGTTACTGCCACCACTCTCATCACTAGTGCTGGTGTTTGTTGTGGAAGTCTGTGAGCTGGACTGAGAAGCCCAAGGGTTTGGCAGAGGATCTCTGTTTTCTGTACGAGATGGCTGACTGTCCCCTCCTGCTGATGAATTGCTTACTAAAGAAGCAAATGGGTTACCTCCAAACTACAGAGAAAGAAAAGCAAACGTGTGTCATCTACTAAAGTCGACTGGTTTTATGTGTTATACATGGCAAATTACCTTCCCAAATGGCACACGAAGATAAATGTTGATGCCTCTTAGGCAGTTACACTCACCATTCGACCGTAAATAAATGTAAATATTGTGAAAAGACACCAGAGAGATACTAGGTCCTCCAAAAAAATTATATCACATTTCTTTTTAAAAGCAGCATTGCTACTACACTGGTATTCTGATCACAGTAAGGCTGTATCTCGCATACTGTTTTCCAGCTTCAAAGCCTTTTCTTGTTCAGTTCCCAGTTACTAAACATACTCTTAAAAGGATTTTACTAGGCCTCCCAAATTTTAAGGGAAAGATTTAAAGGAATTAAAATTAAGTAATACAGAAACTTATTGATTTTAAAATAGCTTCTAAATCACACAAAGTGTATTTCTTCAGACCTAGAAGAACACAGGATTTTTAAAGCTCTTTCCCCCCCAAGAGTAAAAGGCTACATAGTGACTTCAAATTTCAAGAAATGTTTTGTCACGTACACATTTGGAAATTTACATTACTTAAATGCTTTAATTTTAAAAGAAATATTTACTTTTGGTGTCATTTGTAGTCTTTTCTCACCTGTTCCTGTGCTGCATTCAACATTGGCTCCTGAATATCCATGTACATACGTCGCAAGGCATTGTATCCACCTGGTATACTTTCAAGGTTGCTCAAGGCTCGGTCTTGGTTTCGCATCATTTCCTGCATCATTGCAGGGTTTCTAGCAAGTTCTAGTGTCTAGAGAAGTGGAATGTTTAATCTGTATTAATAAGAAATCCATTCTAAAGTGAAGACATCAGCATTTGGCAATATCTCAGTTAACCCTGTCTAATCCAGTTTGAAATTATGATTAAAGCTGAATCAAGCTGTTGCCTTAGTGTGAGTCAACAGAACTCGGTATTTAGCCAGCATGACTGATTGGGTCAAGAAGGCTGGCTAAACAGAAGAAAAACCCTGAATGAATTAATATTTTCTTTCTCCATCTTTTCCACACAATTATTCTTACCATTTCTAACATCATTACAGCAGGCAGATCATAATATGAGCTTTAAGACAAATACCTACCACTTCAAAAGCATCTGTTTGGTTTTTGATACCGTCTACCACACAACACATCTTATGTACCATCTAATTTTAAAAACACTTCAAAGTGCCCGCACTCAGATAAAACGAAGATATGTAGTATTTTTGAGAATTACTACTTTTGGTAAATTCCTTGACTAGATAACAGGTTTCAAATGCAGACAGGCACATCCAATGCTAGCCTCAGAAGACATGATTACAGTCTTCAGTGTCTTTCAAAATGATGCTGCAGATTTTCTGGATGATTCATCTATTTTGAAATACAAACATTAGTTGTGTATATGACAACCTTTTATGGATTCTTAATAAACCTAAATACTTTCAGAAAGTTTACACTCTACTAAGCATGTCAAATTTCTTCTCTGTTTTTTACACTTCCAGTATAATCAAAGTTCATGAACAAACACATCTTTCTACATACCTGTCTCATTATATCTGGATTATTCAGCATGTGACTTATTTCTGGATTTCTCTGTATCAGTTGCTGCATTTGAGGATTAGCCATAATTAACTGCCTCATCAAGTCAGGGTTTGAAAGCATGCTCTGAACAAATGGATTTTCCATAATCTGAACCATCATCTCAGGGTTGGACATAAGTTGCCGTTGCATCTGACTTTGCAGCTCCGAAAAGTTTGAAGTATGTAAGCCCAGGCTACTCAGACCTGCCAAACCTCCAAGGCCACCTTTAAGAGGATGAAAAAAGTATAATTGAACTTTCAGTTTCTAGTGTACTTCCAAACACACCCAGGTTCTTTCTAAATACAAAAAACCTCAACATATCCCACACTTCAAAATAATGAAAATGAATGGAAAGTCCCATCTTTGCATGGCTGCTAAGGCAGCAACTAAGAGTTTGCTTCTTTAAATAACAAGACACATAACTAAAAATCCAACAAACTGTATAATAAATATCACTTGTTACAATTCTAACAGCTTTTCTTCTCATTTGCCACAGCCAAGATACAAGAGATGTTTGAGTTTTGGGATGCTGGGTCCATGTTCCACCCCCCTCCAGCAACACTTACCAATTGCATTTGTAATAATCATTTATCTGTCTTCTCTTGGTTAGACTATAACACCAAGAAAAGCACTCCCAATATGAGTCATATTCCCTATTCTAATTAAAAGTTGGCAGCAATGCACCAAGAGCTAATTATGTTTTGAACTCCCATCCTTTGCTGAGTCCAAATAAAATTTTTCAGAAGGTACTAGTCAGACTGAAGAACCGTTTACACCTAAGAAATCAATTGCTTACGATGATTGGCTTTTCCAATTCTACCTCTTTCCCACTCCCCAAATGTGAGTAAGATGAAAAAGAATGGAACAAAAACACCACTACGATGATGGGAGTAGGCATTAAGTCAATGACTGCAGCCTCCTTATTCATAAAAGTGAAGATGCATAATCCTATCAGACTTGGAACCTGAGAAATACTCAACTCTAAGATTAGCAGCAATTTTGCTGCTTCTATTACAGATCTTGGCTTCATGTTACGGGTCCAACTTCTATGATTCATCAATACTCGGCTAATAAGAATTCAGATGCGCTTTTAAGGAACACAGGAGTTTCATTACCCATAGTGACAGAATATAACACCAGTAGCACCTTACTATCGAAGGTAAAATAGCACAAGTCTGAAGTTCATGGTGAAACACTGGTGTAGGCTGCCCAGGGAGGTGGTGGATGCCCCATCCCTGGAAACAGCCAAGGTCAGGTAGGACAGAGCTTGGAGCAACACGATCCAGTTAAAGATGTCCCTGCTCATTGCAGAGGGGATGGACTAGATGACCTTTAAAAGGTTCTTTCCAACCCAAACAATTCTATGATTCTATATAAAATTAAGGAAACAACTTTCCTCCAGTAACTTACTGATCAGAAACCTTCCACAACAAATTCAATATATATCTGTAATCAGTTTTTTGGCTCGTGTGTTTGGGTGGGTTTTCTTAAGTTCTGTCTACATTAGAATAAAGTTTCAGTGACAATTTCCTGAATCCAACAGCAAATACCCACCATGCTACCTAACAAAAATTCTTACCAAAGCCAAAAGGGTTACTATTTGTTGAAGCTGGTGTTGAGGTACTACTGCTTGAAGTTGATGTGGTAGAAGTACTCCCAGTGGTGTTTGTTTGTTGAGCTGGGTGGTCTTGTGATCTGAAACAATTTCAAGAGTTTCAAGTTTAACAAAAAATGTGTAGATAAATAATAACACACTCAAAACAAATGGAGAGATGCAAGACACAGCTTGCAGTGCTGACAGGACACATCCAGGGACACTAAAAATTCCCCCAAAGCCACAAATGTTTCATTGTGCATGGACACTCCTTTACCCAGAGGCAAAGTGCAAGGAGGTGTGAGAGACTGGTACTGGTATTTCAATACCAGCTATTGTAGGTCCAACCTACAAATGCTCTGAAGACTGTGCAAGTCAAAAGCATCCTGCTAACACTACTCAGGGAGCCCCTCTGCCACACTCAAGACTGCATCAAAAAATCAACAAAAAATGACACGAGCAGAATACTAGTTCAGATGCAGAAGGCACAGAATTGCAGTATTACCTAATACTTAACAATGTGTACAAGATTGGGATGGCTTGCATCAGCCTAAATTTCAGATCAGGGAGGCATGAAGCAGGGAAGGGAGACCTCTGACAGTACAAACAAGTGCTTTGAGACCAGGACACAGAAGATAATCCCTCCAGGATGTGAACACGGAATCGAAGATGTCAATTTCAATAGGTACCTACATTTAATGCTAGAAAGCCTATTTCTGTACTCTCCTACATTCCATATTCTCTCCTTCAACATCTGACATTTTCCCATAAGAGATGATCCTCACCACAACACTTTCAGTCTAGAATAATGACCATCTTAATGACTAAGGAAGCTGCATTTTAGTGATCCGTTGCCCTGCTTGTTGAAAGGATTTTTGGGCACTTCACAGAAATGCAGATGACATTTGTATCACTTGAACCATTTCTCACTGTCATTCTGAAGCTGCTTCACTTAAAAAAAAAATTCCAAGTCTGTTCAGCCAGATAAAATTCAAGGCACTAAAGTAATCCTCAAAAATTTTCTTTCCTTCTTTTACCCAGTTCTTAGTCACTGGTTTGGTAAAACAGGGAAAGAAAATTCACTTTCCCTGAAAGGGG